AAAGAGGAAGACCAAAGATGAGATGGAGAGATATAGTGGAGAGGGACATAAGGCAGAAGGAGTTGGAAGAAAAAGATATGTATGATTTAAAGCCAGTGGAGAGCCAGGATCTGCAATAGCAACCCCATTTAGATGGGACAGGCAAGGGGAGGAGGAGAATGAGAGTTGATCCAGCTATGAGCAGGGGTTGGACTTGTTAAGGTCCTGTCCATTCATGTTCTGTGATATGTTGGTACCCCGAAGAAATGGCTGGTATGGGGCAAATTACATAACTTCAGCATTTTAGTAAATGCATTTCCAGTCAGATTTTTTTGGAGGAGAGAGCAGGTGTATTCATTTCTTCTGTCTTTCTCAAATTAAGAAGCAAGGAAAAAAAGTGCAGTTTCCCTCAACTGCACCCTTCTCTGAGTATGTTAATTCAGGCTGTAAATAGAAGTTTCATTTGTCCTGGGTTAAAGAGTTTTGTCCCAAGATCCTAAGGATGTACAAGCCTACTGTTCCACTTCTAGCCCCTCTGAAGTATTCAGGATAAAATGTGTTAATGCTTTTTCCCTAGACATGGCTGTATGCACTTGTAAAATGATAGACAAGGTTCTTTGGGTAAATCTGATATCTTCTATTAGACCAACTCAAATAGTTGGAAAAATTCTTTCTTGCAAGCTTTTGGGTATAAATATCCGTTTTCAGGCTGAGGAAGCATCTGCAGTTGGTGTGTGCTCTTCCTGAATGGAATGAATAGTAAAGAAGCCAGAGGCTGGGCTGCATGCAAGAAAGCCAGTCAGTGAAGATGTAAATTGAGGAGTCAGTGGGTGAGACACAGGTGGGGGGGAGGGGGAGGGTGGAGAGAGGGGGATGAATGTACCTGGTAAATAGTGGAGAGATACCTGGGAGGTTGGATGTTAGGCAGGTTATAATGCGTCATAAATCCAATGTCTATATTTAGTCCATGATTTTTTGTATCCAGTAGGTCGATGAAGTGAAGTTCATAGGCTTGTCTGTGAAAGGTGATTTGTAAATTCCCTTTGAGGATTAGAACTGAGAGATTGGAGAGAGAATTGTTTTCTTGTGAGAAATGTGCCCCCACAGGTAATTGGGTATTCTTTGATAGATTTCCGGTGTGCATTCATTCTTCTGGTATGCAGTTGCTGTTTGGTCTCTCCTACATATTTTCCATCAGGGCATTTGTATAAATGATTGTGCTGTGCCTGGTTTGACTCAGATCAAACCCTGGGACAATCAGGCCCATGTCAAATTGAGATGTCTGTTTATAGCCTCACGGGGGTGGTAAAGACAATGTTAGTAGCCCAGCCCAATAGTTACATACAGCACGTACAGCACGTCACCTCCTACAAAGGCATCTGTAACTTTCAGGATTACTGTGCCAGTGAGACAAGACTTCCCCCTTGTCATTTGTCTTGAATTCTGTTTCCTGGTCAGCAATTAGACTGACTTTTCAGTTGACTGTTTGGCAACATTTGGGGCTGATCTGCTGCTGAAATTGAGGAAGGTCAGTTGGAACTGAAAACATCTGGTCTGTGAATTCTACATGGTGATGTTGCTTTTGAATAAGGGACTTCAACCACTGCATTTTCAATCCCCAATTGCTAAATGTCCATCAAATTGAACAAAAAAAGTGACATTTTCCTCTCAAGTGAGAATGTCAGCAAAGATAAGCTACAAAAAGGGTCTCAGAGGATCTCTTAATACCCTTTCTGCAACTATAGTTTTATAAAACCCCAATTTGAATTTATAAACTACTCTGAAAGTGTTTGCAACTACAGAACTTTCTTATCCAACAGCTTTGCTAGGAGTGTTCAAAGATGCTGGTTGCTGCTAGTGAGAAATCGGATCTTTCCAGCTTTGTTATCTTTTCAGATTCAAGGAATCTAAGCTAATTAAAGTATGTCACCCAGGATGATTCTGGGGACTTTTATTTTATCCAGAGATATTCAAGACAAGCCAAATCAAGTTCCTTTGAACTTTATATCAGTTTATTTGGATATTATCAATGACACAAAAGTACTGATAGTGGCTACCTATAATAAAGAATACATGAATATACTCACTACCAGGTGGTGAGGTCTCTGGTTCCCTAGAATCTGTCCTCATAAGTAAGGCAAATTTCAAATATTCATCCATATACTTTTGTGTTGAGGAGTTTTATACAGCTCAGATTCAAATTTCTGTATTCCTACTCATTCCTCTAAGAGAACTATCCCTTGGCAAATCCCACAGGGAGCTGGGAAACTTTGAGTCAAGATATGTGATCATCACTGCTCTTACCTGGGGTCACTGGCATTTGGTGAGACACCTGCGTTTGTATCTCAGCTTACTTGAAACTGGCTCACAGATTTGCCATTTTTCACATGCTAATCATTGTGATTTAAACTGATCCCAGAAGCAATTCAGTCCATCTGTGAGGAGGAACATAGGGACAGACCCAGCACTGAGGCGCATGGGGTAATAGGACTCCCCAAACAAATAGATGATATAGGGGTATAGCAGAAAGTTATAGATACATTTTAATGCTTCCACCATCCATGGTTCTAGAGTACAGTAATTTAATTCAACTGAGTAACTCTGTTTAAAATGTCATAAGCAGACATGTTCAGGAAAAAAGTCAGTTTAACAATGAAACAAATCAGGCTATCATAGCTTTCCAGGCTTGAGCAGATCACTTCTTGGCCTTGATCAGGTGTCTCCACCTCATGTGGGCTAAGATCAAGTGGGGACATCCAAATCCCAAGACCTCAGAGCTTGGGCCTGCATGTAGGATGCTTGAAAATGGATTTGGGAGTATCTGAAGTCCCAGGGTGAGAGCCTGGGACAGAGGATGCTTGCCAGTAGTAGTGCCATATGTGCTGTTTAGAATGATTGAGTTTTGCCTGGTAAATCAATATGTTTTTTGGAACGATTGAGTTCTGCTCAGTCAATATGGTTTGGAACTGATTTGGCTGATTTGACCTAGAACATGAAATATTAAAAAAAGGGGGGCACTGAAAGTATCTGCCAACGAGCTACAATGAAGCAGCAGCTCTTGTGCTACCCTGGGCCAGGTGAGATGTACCCAACAATAGCTGTTGCGCAGCTATGAATTATAACTAATTCAAGTATTCTACACTGTAAGGGCAGGACCTGAGTGTCACTCCACTTCATTCA